GCACCACGCTCAGCCAGTGAACGGGAACCGGTCTCAACATGGGATCCGAACCCTCCGTGGGAGCGCTGGGACTATTCTATCTGAATATGTAATGTGCTTATTAGCACAGTGCCTATCACATAGTAACACTCAATAAATAACAACTGAGGAAAAACAAAGCAAGCAGCCTCTGGCATCCGGGAGCTGGCCAGGCATTCACAGGTGGGCCTAGCTCTTCTCCTACTGACCACAAACAATGCCACAGAAAATCAGACAAAACCACTTTGTGACTGTGACGAAGACAAAAACAAGACCACTCTATAATCATGCCTGAACACAGAAAACACAACTACTGTCCAAACTACAAAATCCGAAACAGTCCTTTCTCCTAGCTAATACAAGTGATGGCTGCTTCTTTACCAATTACAGCTTCAGCTTCAATCTAGACTTTCCTTTTTCTAGGTCATAAAATTGCCTCTTACAGCATCCAATCCATAGCAAAGCCCTGCTTCCTTAACCCTTCCCAAGTTGCCTAACATCAGCCCAAGTCCTCCACTAAGCCATTTCTAACCATCTCTCCCTGAGCTGCCCTGCCCCACAGAGGGCTTCCCACCGTGCGCCTTCTCCCTGGCTGAAATGAGCAAGAAACCCAACTTGCTCAACTCAAGTTCAACAAGTGTGTTCCTGGTGGTCTTTGGCTGAAGGGCATTGATGGTATTACTCTGGAACCCTTTCTTCATAACAGAAGCACAATGTACAGAGGCTATTTTGGCTTTGGAACTAAATCCCTGTATTATTTGAAGAATTGGGGATAGGAGCCAAGAAGCAATGAAGGTGATCTACTGACTGGAGAAGCACCAAAAAGGGCTAAGGATTAAGAAGCACTGCAACCGTTATAAAAGTATCTAATCATAAGGTCGTCTAGTTGTAAAGTCAAATTTCTCACTGGCAAGGAGTGTATCACATGGCCATACCTAAACTAATCACTGCAAGAGAAAGGGGTTTCTGTGACTGCTTTATTTTATTTTATTTTTTGTCTTTTTTTTTTTTTTTTTTTTTTGAGACCAGCCCCACTGCGCTCAGCCAGTGAGCTGGTGACCGGCCATTCCCATATAGGATCCGAACCCACGGCAGGAGCGCTGCTGCGCTCCCAGCGCCGCACTCTCCTGAGTGCGATACAGGCTCAGCCCTCCGTGACTGCTTTAGACCTGTGGTTCCCTGCGCAGCCCCCACCGCCTTTGCAATCACCCAGGAGCTTTGGAAACAAAAATGCCAATGCTTGGCAACAGTATCTTTTAATAGTTCCCCAGCTGTTACAAATGTATACCCAGAAGCAGTCCTACTATATTAGCCTAATCAGGTTTCACTTGCCTGAGCCCTGGTGGGAGGTCTGCTCTGAGAATGTGGGAAGGTAAACACTGAATGAAATTGGAGCTCTGCCAGCAGGAGCAGGGAACAACTGACTGCATCTGCCACGTGGATGCACCTTAATGTATAGCTAAGAGATCCTTGGACGTCACTCACACACTAGGTGACCTATAATGAGAAATAAGAAAGGCTTATTATAAGAGACTTGATGGCTATCTTAATCCCCTGCAAAACGTGAAAAATGACGAAAACACCTTATACATTTCAGTTCAACAGCAACTTCCTCCCTGGAGCTTTTTCTGACACTCTCCCTCCTCCTAGGGAAAAGCAGTGTGTATCTTTTGTTCCACGCTAGCTCTATCAGAGCACGCTTAAGGCTCGAACTTGCTTGCCTGCTGCTCTGCCCTCCTGAAATGTGTCCTCTTGGTGGCCAGGGGCAAGGTATGAATTTTATCTACTTCGTGTGTCTAGCACCTAGCACGCAAGAAGCCCAATAAATATTTGTCGAACGAAAAAATGGTGGACAAAGAGAAATGGATGAGAATTGCCTAATATTAATAGTAAACATTTATCCAGCGCTTCTTATATGCCAGGAACTACACAAAGTCATCTACACCGAATAGAATTACTCCTAAAGCAACCCTACGGGATAGGAGCCACTGTTCTCTTCCTTTTAAATGTAAGAAAACTGCATCACAGAGAGACTAATCACTTGTCCAAGGTCACATGCTACAAAGTGACAAGCGTGGGACTGGGTCCCAGAGAGCGACTCCAGAACCTACCATGTTCTTAACCTTTACACCCGAGAGGGAAAAGATGCTTTACTTGCATTAGAGATAGAGCTAATCCAGAGCAGGATCCTTCCTAATCCAGAAGCAGAGCTGCAAGGTATATTGTCATTGGCAGGATTTGTAGCTTATAGGCTCCTGAAGGCTTTTGCATTCTCGGGCTTTTTAGGGAGACAGGAAAAGAGGCGTTGCTAAATAACATAAAAAGGGGTTGAAATAGAAACAAAAGAAAGTCCTGCTCCCAGAAGGTTAGAGCCTGGAGCAGAACTCCCCATTCACGGGCAAGAAAAATAAAAAGGCTAATACTTCAGTTATGGTTGACGCATGACACAATTACCTGCCGCTGCATGTGTGGGGAACGCCGCCATCCACTTTTCTCCTCATCCCTAAGACACCACAACCTGGAGAAGAATCCAGTCCTGGCTTCTGCACTGTTTTACCCCAGATACAGGTCATTATTTGGCCATACTCCTGCAACCTGTCCCTCCTCTCTGTGGCCCTTATTCTGGCCAATACAGCTGTCATTTACCCAACTCCTTATACCAAAAAACCTGGAAACCTCCCAAGATCCCTCCTTTCTTCCCCTTCACATCCAATTGGTCCCTGAGTTTCGTGGATTCTATGTCATAAATATGCAATCTGTTCATTCATTAAATGTTTGTTGTGTGCCAGGAGTATACAATGATGAGCTGGATGAGACTCCCACCCCAGCTTCAGGGAATTCACCGTCTTTTTTTTGTTTTGGGAGGCTGGCCAAAGGGATCGAACCCCGGACCTTGGTGTTGCTGGCACCACGCTCTAACCAACGGAGCAACCAGCCAGCCCGAGCTTACCATCTTAAGGAGGGCATTTTGCAAATGAACAAACCATGCTACACCAGAGTAGTAAGTGCAGGAAAGGGTAAGTAGAGTGCTGAGACGGAACAGTGAGGGGAACATGATTCATCTTGGGAAGCCTGAAGGGTTTTCTCTCAGCAGTGCCCAGGCTGAAATGCGAAGGACAGAGCAGGAACCCGGGGAAGGAGGAGTGGGGAGGAGTAGGAAAGTGCAAATTTCTGGAGGCAAGGGCAGAGCAGGGAGAACCGGAGGCCACTGCAGAGATTAGCCCCAAAGCTGGTCTCCAGCCCGGTCTTAATCCAGTAACTAAACTGCGCAAGGGCTTTTCACTCCTCAGAAGAAAAGGCCCGGCACCAACCTCCTGTCTCTGGAGCTTTGTCCTTAAAGTCTCCCATCATTTGGCATTTGTTCATTTACAGAGGACACCCCCCCCCCCCCCC